TAGCCCCTCCCTCTCACTTAGCATGTAAGCCCCCTGACTCCAGGAGAGGGATTCCCAGCTACGGATCACTGTCAGAGATAGGAACCTCCATGCAGTTCAGAGTTAGGTGCCCAACCCTGTGAGAGAGGTGGGGCTTAGGACACACTCCTCTCATCATCTCCCATTGGCTAGCTTAGGCAGCTTCCTGCCTAGAGTGCTGGCTTTTATGGATCACATTAAGCTCCCTATACAACGAACAGGGAGAGAGAGGCACCTAATTCATGCTGTGTGGATCCCAGTGTTCTTCTTGTAATTTTTTTTTTCTTTTTTCTAGATACCTTAAAGTTACATGTTGCAACCCCTATGTCCTTTCATGGATCCAGGCCGAAATCATAGGCCCTGACTCCGTGGGTGAGAATAGTGGGTGTTGAGCACCCACTGGCAGCCAGCTCCTCCTTCTGCCCACTGGTAGTCCCGCCAATCAGCGCCTCCCTCCTCCCTCCCAGGGCCTCCCGCTCGCCACGGATCAGCAGGATCAGCTGTTCTGTGGTGTGCAGGAAGCACTGGGGGAGAGGGGGAGGAGCAATGGCGGGGCGCCCTCGGGGGAGGAGGCGGAACGTGGCAGGAAGAGGTGGAGCTGGGGTGGGAAGAGGCAGGGTGGGAGCTTGGGGGGGGGGGGGGAGGGGGGACGGGGGCAGGAAGAGGCGGAGTGGGGGCAGGGCCTAGAAGTCAGGATTCTTGGGTCACTGAGTTTTTATTAAATCACTTTGGGCCAGGTTTTCAAAGGTATTTATGTGCTTAAAGATGCAGATATGAATCTAGTGGTGAAAATCTGGTCTTTACTCTTTCTATGCTTGTTTCTCCATCTGTCAAATGTGGATAATACATGCCTAATTGGAAATTGTAAAGATTCTTTGAGAGCCTCAGAAGAAAAACACTATAGCAGTGTGAAGTATTAGTTTCTTACTGTAACTTATTAATAAGTTCTTATGTTTTGTACAATGCCTGTTCTTAAAGCAATTCATGCAATACAAATGAATATATAAAGAACCATAATGTGTTCCTCTGAGCATCTAATAACCAGGATAATTGCAAAATCTGCACTTTCCTGTTTTCACAGGATGTATTTGTTAATGGGCTCTGCTGTAATATGGCAAGGTTTGTCTTTCATATCCACCTTTCCCAGTGTATAAAATTATCCTATGTCCTATGTTGCCAAAATGTTAGATCATATCAAATTCTTATTAGATTTACACTTCCCTCCTTATTACTAATCTATACCAAATTTCCATTTATTGATTATATTATCTGTATGATCGTAGTGCTTAGATCTAGTCATGTACCAGGACTCCATTTCCATTCTAAATTATTTTATCATATGTGGTCTTTGGCTACATGACCTTGGGTTATGATCTCCTGAGATATTATAAACAAAATAGATTCAGAACAAGTCAGTAACACCCCAAATGCTGCAGGAAGTTGTGATGAGGGGATAGGCAACACTTTTCCCGCAATCAATAGTGAACCGTGGCACTATTCCTACATGTTGCTGGGAGCCCTTGATGAAATGTAGAACTGTGGTCTCCAAGCCCTGACCTCTCTTTTTGGGTCACTAAAACCCACACGATGCTTTTTGTAAAAGTGAGTTAGTTTTGGTTTCCTGGATAAAATCCAGTTTGAGTAATTACATTCTGTTCTGTCTACTTGGCAGGATACTCTCTGACCACTAAAATATTGCAAAATAAATCAGACTGGAATATTAACATGACAGAAGACATACTAAAACTGAGATCTTATTCAACCCTTATGCAGGCAAACTCCCATTGAATTGCATGAGTACAACATAGGTAAGGGTCTCTGGTTTTGACTCAATATAAATAGTACATACTTATTCAGCTGAGACTGTGCATTGATTAGTATCTTGAAGTAATTGGATCACAGCTTCATCAGGCTTAAGTTTCCAACTCCTCATAGATAATGAAGATTAGTGATTACTTTAGTCAAAAAGAGTAAGCCTGGATTCAGCCAGGTTCTACCAGAGCCTTAAGACTGTTCATTTTAAGTCTTTGTTACATAAAGGACCTGATTCAGTAATGTTAAAAATCTTCCTTTTCACATTTCTTATGTCTTTTAAAATATTTTAATCTGGACCCAAACAGCCTGACATATGAAACAATGACTCCCATTGAACTCTTTCTATACTCTGAATGAAAAACATATTTAGGCTGGCTGTTGCTGCAGTTTTGTTTCCAGGATGAAGAGTGCACAGTGATCTGTGTCCTCATTTGACACATGAGCCTAAATTTGCAAAGATGCCCACTTTCATACCCTGGGAAGATGTATTTGGGAAAAAGTATGAGATCCCCTGGGCTTGATGAGGTTTGGGGAAATATTTTCTGGGATAACTTTTGTATTCTGCCTTTGCCTCAATGTTGGAATAATTATTAAATTATACAGCAATGTAAGCATGCAAGATCAAGTATACAGTTCTTGCCTCAACTTACAGTCTAAGGCCCTGTTCCTACAATCCATACTCATGTGATCAATCATATTGATTCCCCTGTAAATGGGTTGCAGGCCCGATCCCCAAATATACACATGAATGCTGACAACAAAGGAAGGGCATGTGCTTGTGAGACTAGAAGACCAGGATTTATAGTGGTTGTTCAGTTTAGCTATTCATCTCTCACTGGTTCATGTCAAACATATATTTTGTGAGTTTATAAACTAAAGGCTTCATCCACTTATACCCTACTAAATTCAATTTTGATCAATTTCATGATCATAAGATTTTAAAAATAGTAAATTTCATGATTTCAGCTATTTCAATCTGACATTTCATGGTGTGGTAATTTTAGGGGTCCTGACCCCAAAAAAAGGAGTTGTGGGAGGGTCGCAAGGTTATTGTAGTGGAGGTTGCGGTGCAGTTACCTTTACTTCTGCGCTGCTGCTGGTGGCGGGCCTGCCTTCAGAACTGGGCAGCTGGAGAGCAGCAGCTGCTGGCCGGGAGCTACCACCAGCAGCAGCAGCGCAGAAATAAGGATGGCATGGTATGGTATTGCCACCCTTACTTCCGTGCTGCTGCTGGCGGGGCACTGCCTTCAGAGCTAGGTGACCGGCTAAGAGCCACCGCTCTCCAGTCGCCCAGATCTGAAGACAGCACAGAAGTAAGGGTGGCAGTACTGTGATCCTCAACCCTCTTTTGGGTCAGGACCTCCAATTTGAGAAACACTAGTCTCCCCCTGTGAAATCTGTATAGTATAGGGTAAAAGCACACAACATACCAGATTTCATGGACTGAAATCTGGTCTCCCCCATGACTCATTTTTCATGGCCGTGAATTTGGTAGGGCCCTACTCATGGTTATAGGAACTATGCTTGGTAGTAACTACCACCCCCCTCAAGCATCATCCAATCCAGAGCTCCTCCTGGGTTGGGGTGGTACTGTACTCGGGACTATCCTTAGAGGCATAAACTAGCCCTAACCTCTGAGGAAAATGAGAAGGCAAATGGGAAAACCAAAATGATTCTCCTCTACAATTTGATCCAAGACCTGTCTATTCACTTTCTTTCCCAGAAATATAACAAAAAAGACCCCAAGTATTAAACACCTTTCTCTGATGTAAATACCATTGATAAACTCTCCATGCATACAAATATTACCTTTTCTCCCTGCTTGTCTGAATTAATTTGTGGTGAAAGTCTGTCATTCTTCAGTGATATTTGTAAAAGGTTTTCTTATTGTTTTAATCACAATCCCCAATCAAGTAATTAAGAACATCCTAACTCTTTTCTGCTTAGTGATGATATAAAAAGGAATATATCCAGTACAAAGGCACGTACAGGATCTCTAAGGAGAGACTCTACACAAAATATTGTTCACATAAAATTGCTAGAGAATTGATCTTAAAAACTAGCCATTTATACACTTAAAACGGTTGAGCACTAATCTGCACTGTACAAAGGTAGGAATGGTCAGGGCTGAGGGGTCCGTCTGGGTGGAAGGCAGGGAGTTTTCAATGCAGGAGGGCAGTGGTGGGAGGGGGGTCTCAGAAGGAAGAGGGAGATAAGGAATGAGTAGATGGGGGTGTGTGGGGGGGGGAGCAGGCAGTGAGTGGATGGGAGCGCTGCAGTGGGGGGAACAAGTGGCAGGGGGTGGGTTTTGGAAAGAGTGAGGGAGGAGTTAGGAGGGGGGTCCCTGGGGTCAGGGAGCAGATAGCTCGGTCTCTAGGTGTGTGGGGATGGGTCAGGGTAAGAGGGAGGCACAGAGTGAGGTAGGGTGACCAGCTGTCCCAGTTTTATAGGGACAGTCCTGATATTTGAGGCTTTTTCTTATATAGGTGCCTATTACCCCCCACCCCTCCCTCCTGATTTTTCACATTTTCTATCTGGTCCCCCTAGAGTGGGGGGACGGGGGGTTGGAGGCGGGGAACAGGCGCATGGGTAGCTGGGGGTGGAGAAGAGGCGGATGGGTCTCTTGGAGGTGTGGGGGGAGGGGTGTTCAGGGGCGGGTGGCTGCAGCGAGGGCAGGGTGGAAAGACGGAGCCGCCCCAGCAGGGGCAGAAGGCTGCGGACCGTTGGTAGCGGGGCGGGGGGAGCCGGGGTGAAACGGAAGGAGAGACGCCTGCACGAGGCAGACAAGTCGGAGCGGGACGTTGGGGAGCCCGCGGAGCGCGCACAGGGTCACTGCGCTGCAGTCACCTCGCCCCGCCCCAGAGCCCATCGGGGGCAGCGCAGGACAGCGAGCGCGTGCTCACGCCCTTGCTGTTACCTCCGAAGGGTTGGGGGGCGGGCTCCTATTTGAATATCCCCGCTGATTGGCTGGGGCTCCTGGTGCCATCCCAGCCGCTCCCCGCGGCTGTCGTCAGGGCCCTTTAAGTAACCGGCCGGCGAGCGCTGCCGGCTCCAGCGTTTCTGTCGCCTCATCCGCCGCCGCGCGGCCACGAAAGCGGCCCCTCATTGTGACCGAGCAGCTGGGCCGCTGTCGAGTCCGCGCTCCAACCGCCCCCCCACCCCCTTCCTCGCGCGCAGGGATGTTTGACCGCGAGCGCGGCTGGAGCGTCTCCTTCGCCGGCTGCGGCTTCCTGGGCGTCTATCACATCGGGGCGGCCACCTGCCTGCAGGAGCGCGCCCCGCACCTCATCCGCGACGCCCGCAAGATCTTCGGCGCCTCGGCCGGGGCCCTCGCCGGCGCCGTCCTGGTCGGAGGCGGCTCTCTGGGTGCGTCACCCCGCCCCTCACCGTCCCCGGGATGGGGGGGGGGAGGAGGGTGACGGGCTGGAGCGGGGGGCGGCGGATGCTGGGTCTGAGGATGGAGGCGGTGGTCTGTATCCGGGACTCGGCGAGGGGGGAGCGGGGGCCGTGTGTGCAGGGGCTGGGGGTCCGTGGCACTGTGGGGCTGAAGGGGGGTCTGTATCCGCGGGGGGGGGGGGTGTCCCCAGGTGTTCGGGGCAGGCAGGAAGGTCTGAGCAGAGTCTGTGTCACTGACAGAACCACCATATCATGTCAAAAGTGGGGTGTGTGTGTGTGTGTGTGTGTAAACTCTTGTGTCAAATTCTGCTGCTCAGCAAATTGTTTCAGAAAAAGTGGCCTGTCTGGACTAGATCTAGTACCTGTGTAAGGACCTGTCTACGCAGGGAAAACTCCCCGGCATCATCCTCTGTAGATGAAGACTCCAGGAGTGTTGCTCTGAAGTTGTCTGTAGCATCGGTTGGAAGGGATGGAAACAGCTACAGGAGCTGTTCTTGTTCAGAATATCGCCAGGCTCAGTCATAGCTGAGGTTCCTGGTCTGTTATTGCTTTTCTCCGCCATTCTGAATTTATGAATGACACCCGGGCAGCTACAGCAAAGCTTATATCTATGTTATGCTGGGAGTCCGAGACAAATCAGCCAATCACCACCTTTACTCCACAGCACTTGCATCCAAAAATTTCACAGGTTGTATGCGGAAGACTGCACTGATGATAGATTACTTGATCCAACTGTCACCGGTACAAATAAACAAAAATACCCCAGCATAATGCTCCAGATGCAAATCAACACAAGCACAACCACCCACACAATACAAGACACAGTAACCACAAACACATACATACACACCCTCAGTGCAGCACACATCCCTTATTCACAGTCTTCACAAATCTAGGCAGATCTCCCAGTTTAACTCAACCCATGTACAATAACCCCAAATTACACACATTTCAGCTTCAGAGTGATGAGTCCCTGTGAAGCGATGGAAACAGCTACAAGCATTGTTGAGAGTTGTTTTTGTTTAGAATATCACCATGTTCAATCATCACTGGGGTTTGTGGTCTGTCACCATTCAGTTTTAAAGTTTTCAGCCATTTTTGCTTTTTTAATTTTTTTTTTTACTTATGACATTACAAATTACACCCTTGTGGGACAGCACTTGTTCTGGACTAAGAGTGGGCATTTTTACAGTTTGTCACTTTGGAAGCAGTGTAAGATAACTAAACTTGGAAAAGACACTCTTATTCCTATATGTTGAGTCATACTAGTATAACTAGATGTATAGTTATATCAGTATAATTATGCTGGTAAAATTTCCCATGTAGTTATCTCCTAAATATGTGTGTGTATGAATATAATGCACACATATATATCTCCATTGGGAGAAACTTCTAAAAACCTGCTTTAAAATTAATCATAAAGGAGAGGACTCTCCTTCTTGAATGAATGAGACCTGCAAGGATTTTAAAGTCTTCTAATATTTTTTTTTTCTCTTTAGGCGTTAGAGGAATTTAAAAGGATTGAGTCCATATATATGGTGCAGAGAGGAAAAAGTCAGCTGAAAAATAGGATATTTGTCAGAACCTCAAAGCCTCAGGGAATGTGCTCATATACTACTCTATACACACCATTCTGCAGTTGGGTATTTTCAATTGCTAAATATATTGTAATGCAATAAGATGTGCTGTGAGTAGCACCTAAATACTGCAGTGGCTGGTACCAAAAAAAGAGTGTGTGTGTGTGTGTGTGTGTGATTTTCATGCATGTCTCCTTTCTAAGAGTTACACTCTTGTTCCTCCTTGTGGCTTAATCCTAGACTGTCTTAGTGACTTCAGGGAGAACATATCTGGGCCAAAGGCTTTTACTCCTTAACCCCATAATAATAATAATTAATAAAAAACATAGAAAAACTGAATACTGTAGGAAGAGAAGGAGGTAGCTGAAACTCTAGTTCTGTTCCCTCCACCTTCCTCCCACCCACCCACCTGTCAACCAAAGCAGAAATATTGAGCGTTTGAATTAATTCTCATTTGTTCCTTCTGTCTTAGGTAGAGGTGACTCTCTCACTTTTTCTATAATTCTCTTTGACTCTATGTAAGGGTTCAGTTAGCTTTAACGTGCTTTCTCTAAAGCTTCTCCATTCTTGGGGGTAGGGTTTAGAGAGTTAAGATCAGAGCTTAGGCTAGCTTTAACGTGCTTTTCTGCCTTAGTCAGCTCTCAATGCTCAAATAGCGTT